TTTGGGGAACTGAACCGACGGGGCGTGCGCATCGGTGCCTGTCCTTCCGCGGCGCTCTCGTGCCCGAGGGGAGAGAAGCCGCAGCCCTGCAGCTAGTGCGGCCCCATGGTGGCCGCTGCAGAAACAGTGGGGGCGGAGGTACTTCCCTGAGGACTCTTCCAAAAACATCCCACCTCAGCGCTCAGATCCCAGGAGCATGTTTGAGTACTTGGCGAGATGAAAGGTTTCTTCCCCACACCCACTTGGGAAGATCATTCTTCCCTCTTATCGCAATATAGTCTTCCTACAGCTCAGAGCAACTCATTACAATCTGAATTATGGAATCGTAAGGCATCAGATGGTACAAAATAACAGGCCTCCAGTGACATTTTTTATTTTCTAAGGATCAACTACAAAAATAATGCAGACGTTTCAACTGTGATATCTCAGAAGGCAACTACATAGTAAACACACTTGTATACCCATTCCCAAATCTTTTTTATTTTTTCACCCTCACCCAAGGATATGTTTACTGATTTTAGAGAGAGACAGAGAGAGAAACAGATTGGCTGCCTCCCGTACTCGCCCTGGGAATCAAACCCGAGACCTTCTGGTGTACAGGACAATGCTCCAACCAACTGAGCCACCCGGCCAAAGCCAAATCTGTTATTTTTAATAGTTAAATATTCACTCAATAATTGAGAAGTATATTTTCTAATTACTACATAAACTAAGGAATTGTTTAGCCCTAGGAAAAAAACACCAACCATGGGCCTTTAAATTTTTGAAAACAGTTGAGAAGTGTACTTTTTAAGGCCATTGCTAATAATAATAATAGATTTCAAAATACACAGTTCCATCATATTGCAAGGGATTTAGGAACTACCCTATTCAACACTGAGAGTTATGCTAGATAAACAACCTGACAGAGATGACAATTTGGAACCATAATTATTCTCAGGGGTCTTCTTACCACATGGTTTCCCTGTAATCTCTTGCTTTCCCTTCTTCCAAAAAGAAAATCATTGTGCTAAGACGGCAAGTGAGTTACAGTTTCGGTGAATTTGAGTTCTGCATCTCAGCGGGATGTGGGAGAGCATCTGTTTGTTTATATGTGATTTCGAGTGCCGGGCATGTTCTATTAACTGTTTTAGACATAACGTACTTTTAGGTTTTTGTTAAAAACTAGAGGCCCCAGACTGTCAAACTACAGCAGGCAGGCCGGGGAGGGATGAGGGGTGAGGGGGTGGTAAGAGATCAACCGAAGGACTTGGACTTGTATGCATGCATATGAGCATAACCAATGGACACAAGACACTGGGGGGTAGGGGAGGCCAGGGGAAGGTCAAGGGGGGAAAAATGGAGACATATGTACTACTCTTTGTAATACTTAAGCAGTAAAACAAAATTTAAAAGAAACACTGGAGGATAATTATTGTCTACTGGCATTAAGCATGATATTTGCTGAACATTACATTTGCGTTTTGTATAGGAAACCACCTGTAACATCATTCGACTTTGTTATTAAAAATAGAATGACAAAAAACAACTAGAGGCCCAATGCACAAAATTTGTGCAAGGGCCTTGGCCCCCACCTCTGCTGCGGCCCTCTGCTGCCTCTGCCAAGCCTGCTGTGGCTTTGTCTGGAAGGAAGGACTGTTTTAGACATACCGTACTTCTAGGTTTTTATTAAACACACCCTTTTTAGTTTAGCCTGCAGTTGCTTTTTGCTCATTATGTTCCTGTTAACGTGGTTGATGATGGGTTTGTTTTCTTTTTTCTTTCTAGTTATGAAAAACCTCCTCCTGGGCTTATCAAGGTCAGTGTGAAGTTTGTCCTGTGGCTCTTCTCTTAGGCATAAGTCACTCAGTGCGTGGACTCCCTTTGTGATCACCCTGTTTCTTCCTGCAGGTGCCAGTCACACACTTCGGGCTTTGTCACACGCCTGTGCCTTTGTGGCAATTTACTCAGCCGGGTGTCTGTTCCCTAAGAAACCCAGGCAGGCCCATGCAAGTTCCTCAGCCATCGCCCCTTCTCTGCACCATGGCCAGTGTCAGACTCTGAGGCAACAAGACTTAGACTTAGAGTTAAAGGCCAAAATAACCTTTTCTGTTTGCTACCTTTCAATATTAAAAAAGATTTTTAAAAACATTTTCATTATAAATTTAATACACCTGGAAACTTGAAAAAAAATCAAAAGGCTAAAAAAAAAAAACTACCTTATGCAGGCTCGATCCCCAACCCCAGTCGGGGTGTGTGTGAGATGCAACCAATAGATGTGTCTCTCTCACATCAATGTTCCTCTCTTTCTCTGTCTCTCCCCCTCCCTTCAACTCTCTAAAAATCCATGGATCCTGGCTGGTGCAGCTCAGTGGTTGAGCATCGACCTGTGAACCAAGAGGTCAGGTTACCATTCCATTTCTGGTCAAGGCACATGCCCAGGTTGTGGGCTCGATCCCCAGTGTGGGGCGCGCAGGAGGCAGCCAATCAATGATTCTCTCTCATCATTGATGTTTCTATCTCTCTCTCTCTCTCCCTCTTCCTTCCTGTCTGAAATCAATTAAAAAAATGTTATAAATAAGTAAGTAAATATCAGTGGAAAAATATCTTCAGGTGAGGATTAACCAAAAAGAGAGAAATAGAGAGAGAGAGAGAGAGAACTTTAGTGCAGGTATTTGGTGGTGGTAAGTACATTTCATAAATACACCTGTGGCCTTCAAGGTATAATAATCCATTTTAACTTAACATACTTTTGTTGTTATTCCAGGAAACCTTACTTGTTTAATCCTATACTTTGCCTCATTCCACAGAACTTTTTTTTATATATATATTTTAATGATTTTTTACAGAGAGGAAGTGAGAGGGATAGAGAGTTAGAAACATCGATCAGCTGCCTCCTGCACACTCCCTACTGGGTATGTGCCCACAACCAAGGTACATGCCCTTGACCGGAATCGAACCTGGGACCCTTGAGTCCACAGGCCGACGCACTATCCGCTGAGCCAAACCGGTTAGGGCCACACAACTTTTAAGTTAGCAGAAAACTTGTAATCTTAGCATCAGAATTTGGAGCTTATAAATCATTTCTTTGTGAACAACAATAGTACCATTTCTCCAAGAACAGCCACTTCGTTTTTGTGATGTAGTTCTTCGGGCACATTCACTTCCACTTTTTCTGTCCGGTCTCAGTGGTGTCTCCGGTTCCTGAGAGGTGACTCATGATGACCTTGGGAGCTCCCCCCTGAGAAAGCCAGGCCCCCTGTGTTCTGAGGCAGGTGGAGAGGATCCGGCGCTTTCTGGCCATATTGTTTACTCGCTGTTTCCCTTTTTAGGAGGATGAGACGAAGCCGGAAGACTGTATACCAGATGTGCCAGGCAATGAGCATGCCAGGGAATTCCTGGCTCACGCGCCAACCAAAGGGCTTTGGATGCCGCTGGGGAAGGAGGTCAAAGTTATGCAGTGTGAGTGTGCAAGCGCGTCCGGGACTCCCGAACACACGCAGGTGACACCACGGTTCACAAGGCGTGTTTTTCTTTCATTTAACGTGTTCTCCTCTCAGCGCTGTCAGAGTCCTGGCATGATCTCTGCTCTGCAGATTGACTTACACGTGTCAGTACGTGGTCCCAGGTAAGAGGCGGAGCCAAGATGTGCTCCAGGCTTCTGACTCCACGGGCAGTGGCCTGCCACAGGACGGGGCTGCCTTTGGAGGACACTGGCTGGTCGTGTTCCTGCCACAGAAAGGACCTTCCGTGGTGGAAATGCCTTGGAGGGCAGGTCCCTCTGGGTCCTGCCTCAGTTAGTCCCCCTCCATCGTTGGTGGTAAGGTTTCTCCAGGTTGCCTGAGAGGAGCTACAGGCCACAGAGGGTGGGTTGGGACAGGTAGAGCTCTGCGTGCGCACCCCCCACCCCACCAGGGCAGCAGCGCCTTCATCCAGCACAAGATGGCATTTGAAGAAAGGGTGCTGAAGCCTTTTTTTTTTTTTAATATGGCTTTTATTGATTTTGGAGAGAGAGAGAGAGAGAGAGAAACATCAATTGACTGCCTCCTGCAGGCCCACAACCCAGGCATGGAACGGTGACCACCTGGTTCATAAATCGATGCTCAACCACTGAGCCACACTGTCCAGGCCCAAATTCACTTTTGAGTAGAGATTGGTAACTGGATCTCACTGTAGGGTGGAGTGTCCGGGCTGCTTAAGAGGTAACACAATGTTTATTTTATTGCTGTAAACAGCTGCTGAGATCAGTATCTCCAAGCCTTTCTCATCAGGCTGGTCAGTCTTTCAGAGGAGAGTTTCCTGCTGAGGGCCAAGGCCTCGTGCTTGGTTCTGGGAACTGCTTTGAGGAGCGAGGCTGTGAGCCTGAGCCTCCCCCCATCAGCCATCCATGTCCTCTTCCTGTGCTCGGTGTGGCACCTGGCCTTCCAGCGGGCCTGAGGCCACAGCCAGAGCCCCTCCTTTCACCTGCTCCGGAGAATGAACCTGCCTGCCCTGGGGCAGGGGAGATGCAAGTGGCCTTTTAACCAGCCCTCATTTAAGCTGTCCCTTCACCTCCATTGCCAGAATGTGCTGCCAATTCCAGAGCCTCTAGGGTTCTCCAAATCCAAATTGAGTTGTTTCTGTTCCGCTGGCTTAGAATTCAGTTTTCTGGGGTCTGCTATCCATGTTGCACACTCTTACCTGCATTATAACTTCCAACATCTTTTTACTGTTGTCTCCTTTCATATTGTCCCTGTCTTTGTGGGTGACACCTTTTTTAAAGTCTTTTGCTTTTAAAATTGGAATCTAATGAAGAATAACTTTAATATGACCTACTGATACTTTATCTTGATTAAGTAAAATACATTATCTTACAGAAATATATCCCCTTTCTTTGTTTTTAGGTTGGCGCTGTAAACGGTATGGTCACCGAACAGGCGACAAAGAATGCCCTTTCTTTATCAAAGGCAACCAAAAGTTAGAACAGTTCAGAGTAGTAAGTAGAACCCCAGGGTGTCAATTTATGTTTACCAAGATGGTGAATATCCTGAATCAGGCAATAATCGGTGAACTGGAGGCTCACATAAAATATATTTCCAGAAGCCTTTTGGCCAAAGTACCTGGTGTTAACTACATCTCTGTTAAATTATGTTTGTGTGAGAGATTAGTTACATTAACAAAAAACTAACTTCTTACTAAAGTGTTATTGCTTATGCCTTGGAAACACTGATTCTTTTTTCTGAAGCAGACATTCTTATCCACTTTTTACTTATGTAAAAAAAAATCATGTTTCCTAACAAAAAATCAGTGTTCTGATTTCCTAATCCTTGTCTAGGTATTAGATATCTTTCTGTTATAAACTAGAAGTGAGCATACATGATATTTCCTTGTTACATGTCAGTAAAATAGGTGTCATTTCCTCACTATTTACACAGTCACCTCCCAGGGATGGTAATTCACCTTTCAGTAACTGTTTCAATATATCAGGTATACTGGAATTACCAGCATATATCAAACTGGGGTCCACATTCTCCAGGGATGTTAAGACATTGAAAATATTGTGCTTTCATTTTAATAATTTGAAGAAGATATTCTGGATAAATCATTGATAGCTGGAATATCGATTTTTATACCTCCTCTCACAGACAATTTGGAGATAAATCTCAAAAATTTAAACGTATTCAATATTTTTTCAAATGCAGAAACCTAAATTCTAAGAATTGATACTAAGGATTTAACAAAACATCAATATACACAAATTTTTATGAATGTAGGAAAATAACTTTCAGAATTATTTATATGGTTAAAAAACAGAAACTAAATAAAAATAGGCAACAACTTCAATGGCCAATATATTAATACCAACAACATAAATTACTATAACATAGAAATCATATAGCTTTTTTAAAAAAAAAATATCTACATTCTTTATTTAAAGGTGTGTTTTTTAAAAAACAAACAAACAAACATGTTGAGCCCGGGCTGCTGGCTCAGTTGGTTGAGCATTGTCCTGTATACCAGAAGGTCAGTGCGATTCCTGGTCAGGGCAGATACCCAGGTTGAGGTTTGATCCATGGTTGGGATGCGTATGCTTTTGGGAGGAACCGGTCGATGTTTCTCTCCCTCTCCCAATCATATAGCTTTTAAGAATTATGTTTTAGAAGAAAGTAAAATGTCATAGGATGATGTTCACGACATTTAAGTGAAAAAGAGAGTAGAGAGTTTTATATAACATGATTATAATTTTTTGTAAATTATGACTAATGACTGGGAGAACCATACTAAAATGTTAGCAGTGGATAGTTCCAGTGGTAAGATAATAGATATTTTTAACTCTATTTTTTAAAATATATTCTTATTGATTTCAGAGAAGAAGGGAGAGGGAGAGGGAGAGATAGAAACATCAGTGATGAGAGAGAATCATTGATCAGCTGCCTCCTGCACACCCCACACTGGGGATCAAGCCCGCACTGTGGGATTGTGCCCTGACCGAGAATCAAATCTTGACCTCCTGGTTCATAGGTCAACACTCAACCACTGAGTCACGCCAGCCAGGCTTAACTCTATTTTTTTAATTTAATATGTAAAATTTTTTTTAAAAAAGCATTTTTAAAGATAACTCACATACCATGAAATTCACTCTGTGTATTCATATTTTAAAGTACTTTAAGTGATTTAAATTATACAGATATTACAGGAATACATTGGCCTTACTTTAACAAAATGGAAACATTATAGTAAGGTTTTCCAATACTGAAAGGGGGGTTACAGTAAGTAGCCTGATGAGTGTCCCTCCGGACTTCTTTTCTGGCACATGGTTTGTGTACCTATAAATGAATCATTCTTACATACCATTTTCTGACTCACTTGTTTTGCTTAATATCTTTTAATCAAAAGATAATTACTGCAATATTTCTAACCTTGACTAGTATTTATTAATATTTCAATGGTTTATTTCCTTATAAAAGATACTAAAATTATAATCCTGTACTTGTATAATTGGAAAATCTTTTTTATAGCCTCCATAAGTTTAAAGTCATTCTCAGGAAGGATTAGAACATGTAGAATATAAAATTACACCAAACAGGGGAGGGGAACAAACTAATTTCAGTGAAACAGCGATTTAATTTTAATTTAGCTAACAATCTATGAAGTCTAACCCAAGCTTAACTTTCTCTAACCCTCAAGGCACATGAAGATCCCATGTATGACATCATCCGAGAGAATAAGAGACATGAAAAGGATATAAGGTGAGGTTGTCCTGATGATAACAAGACCCTCTTGAAGTTTTAAATGGTATTACGTTGGAAACAATTATTCCTATTGGAGGAGCAGTGTAACAAATGTGGTGCTTTCATTGCGCAGCACTTGGAGGTCAGGAGGACTCCCTGAAAAGGCTGGTGTTCCAGGAATGAGCGGGTCAGCCTGCTCCACTTGGGTTAGCTTAATGCAGTGGGCGTGGCCCAGCCTGCTGACGCATGGATGGTTGATGTTGGCAGCCCTCTTCGTGGTGTGTGGTTCTACTGTTTGATTGGTTCTCTTTCATATGATTTAGTTTATATTCTCCAATGTCTTCAGGGATCTGAGCTATTGTTCAACATGAATAAAGACAGTGAAAAAACAGGAGGTTTTTATTTTTTCAGAGTCTTCACTTTGAGGTAAATTACCTAGTATGAACTTGAGCAGTGGAGGGATGATTTAGGAAAGGCTGTATCTGTTAGAAGGTTAGAAGTAAGGGACTATAGAAATATGCAGGCACACCTCCTTGGGGCATGTGCACTCAAATCTCCTTTTCAAGTGAATATTATCTCCTAAACTCTAAGGGACCCCATGAGACTTACAACCAGGGGAGCAGTGGGGAGTGACAGCGCATCCCTGGCTAACCCCCTGATGAAAAGGTCCCCAAGGCCCCCTTTCTCTGACTTCCTAGTGAGCGAAGCAGCCCCGTGTAAGCTCTCCTGTTACTTCCATCCTAGTCCCGTCCTTGTTTCACTGTCCCCAGCTTTAATAAACATACTATCAAAAAATAATAATAAAAATTTAAAAAAGAAACGTGGAAATATTTAGGACAATGAAAATGATACAGAACGATTGTACACAGGTAGATAGGCATAAATGTAAATGGTCCTGTAAAATAGGCATGGATGTGGACAGGAATGGGCAACATGCAAAAATAAAAAATAAGTACTGTATTGGATGAGGTGATTATCTGTGACTTTTCTTATCCTCACTGCTAATCTTATATTTAAAAACATTCTTCGACAATGTTGTTACGGTTTCTGGTTCTTTGACCGTCTTCTCTGTCTAGGATACAGCAGTTAAAGCAATTGCTGGAGGACTCCACCTCAGATGACAATAGCAGCAGCTCCAGCTCCTCGGAATGTAAGGAGAGACACAAGAAAAGGAAGAAGAAAGAGAAGCATAAGAAAAAGAAGAAAGAAAAGAAAAGAAAGAAGAAGCGAAAGCATAAGTCTTCCAAGTCAAGTGAGAGCTCGGACTCGGACTGACAGCCGCTCGGCTTGTCCGCGTTCTCGTCTCAGAATCACACACTGTGGCCGAGAACAGGGGGCCTGGAGTCGGAGAGGGGACACCAAGGAGCACATCTGGTGTCACACACACGAGTGACTTCTCACCTACCTTCCAGTGAAGCTGTGACCCCCGAGAGGGACTGTGTCTCCCCAGGTGCCAGCTCTGGACGGCGCTGACGTCGGCAGGACGGGCCCTCCCAGTCCTCCTCCTGCTGGTCACTGTGGCCTGCGATTCCTAGGAAGTCGGGGTGGCCGGACTAGAGCCTCTGAGGACACTCCTCCAGGGGCGGACACCTCCACAGCGAGGCTGCTGAATTCCCAGGCTTCAGGCTCCACTCTTGTCTGTTGTTGAAGATAATAAAAGCTCATTATTTATTTTTCAAATGTATTTATTTTTTATTTCTGAATAATACATGCATGTGTTCCAAATTTCAAAGGTACATAAGGTTTAATTATGAATCTTAAGCAAATGTGGGTTTTGTTTGTTTTTTAACATAAATGCTAGCATATCATCCCCATTTGTTTTCATTTTTCATTTTTTCATTCAACAGTGTAAAGTATGTTGGGCCTTGCTGCTCACAAAAGCCTGTGTTCATAAACCCTGGCACGATGGGTTGAGTTTTTTGGGGGGGTGGGGAGGAGTAATTGGGTGTCCTGTAATAACAGTAAAAAATCATGGACTTAACTTGCTTAGATCTTATTGCCATCATCCCATGATTATGATTATGCCCAGAACAACTGATTCAGAAAAATTATAAGGATTTAGGGATGACTATACGGGGTCAAGCACCCACATCCAAAATTCACCGTGGTCCTGTTGGCTAAGCACAGCCCTCCTGGGAACTTCTAGTTTTGACTGTGTGCAGCCGAGGCAGCTCTGCAGTCTGGGGTGGTGCCTGCAGCTAGGGGAGGGGTCTGTTCTTTGATGAGCCAAGGAGGAGCCACATCTTGCTCAGGGACAAGTGTCCCTCCCTCTCCAGCTTCAGTTGCTGCTGTCATCACTCAGGGTCCCTGGAACTCACTATTCCCCTGGGGGTTGGATTCCCACATCCTTTACTAGTACAAAGACAGGCTCCTTCCCCAGCTCTCTCCAGTAACTGCTCCTAGACCTGGCCTTTGAAAGTTTATCTCAGCGACACAATTGGCCCCGATTGGAATGTTCTTTCTGAAAACCCTAAGGCCAGTGAATGCAGCCATGCCTTACACTTACCCTGAGCATCCTAGCTCAGCATGCAGCAGAAAATTCTCCTGCCTGGAATTTTCTTTATTCCGATGGTATGCCATTTATGTTAAACATGTTCTCTTACAATCTGGACGAAACCAAGGTACATGCCCTTGACCGGAATTGAACCTGGGACCCTTCAGTCCCCAGGCCAACGCTCTATCCAGTGAGCCAAACCAGCCAGGGCCATGATCTAAGTATTCTTAAACAACATGAAAAAAAGTCTGCATCAATGCCTCTCAAACCTTTGGGGCACCAACATCAACTATAGTGCTAATTAAAACATATTCCTGGCCTCCCAGACTACCTGGACTGGAGTAGATCTGGGAATTTTCCTTTTGAACAAGTCCACAAAGGATGCTAATACCGCTGCTGTGGGGACCACACTTGGAGAACCACTGCTCTAATCTCTAGCCTTTTACTGGAGTCTTCCCCCACTTCTTGCTTTAACTGGGATCTGGGCAGCCCCTGCAAGTTAACTACTATCCCCTACTCCCTCATCTCGACTTCTCTGTCTTCTGTTTCCGGCCTAGATTCTAGAGTGCATCACTTAAGCCTGCCATCACTCTTGACATGTGGGCCTTTTTTATTGAATTTATTGGAATGACATCTATAATAAAAGCATAATATGCTAATTAGACCAGACATCCTTCTGGATGTCCTTCCGTCCAATGAATACATGAATAAGTGGAACAAGTCAATGTCTCTTTCTTCTCTCTCTCTCCCCCTCCTCTCCCTTTCTCCTTATCTTCCTCTCTCCCTTCTTCCCTCCCTCCTTTCCTTTGTCTTTATTAATAAAAAAGTCATGCCATAACTGGTTTGGCTCAGTGGATAGAGCGTCAGCCTGCAGACTCAAGGGTCCCAGATTCAATTCCGGTCAAGGGCATGTACCTTGGTTGCGGGCACATCCCCAGCACATCGATGTTTCTAACTCTTATCCCTCTCCCTTCCTCTCTGTAAAAAGATCAATAAAATATATATTTTTTTAAAGTCAATAAAAGTTATATAGCCTTAGTCAGTTTGTTCAGTGGATAGAGTTGGGCCTTCGGACCAAAGGGTCCAGGTTCAATTCTGGTCAAGGGCACATATCCTTGCAGGCTCCTCCCTGGCATGGGCCCTGGTCTGGGCTCTTGCAGGAGTCAACCAATCAATGTGTTTCTCTCACACCAGAGTTTCTCTGTCTTTCCCTCTCTTCCACTCTCCCTAAAAATCAATGGAAAAATATCCTCGGGTGAGGATTGACAACAAAAAAGCTCTGGGGTAGGTAAACACATGGAAGTGCTGGAAGACTTATATGCCTGGAGCAGGCATGGAAACTCCACACCCTTTCCCCATACCTTGCCCTATGCATCTCTTCCACTTTTAATTTAGTTTGCGTACCAGGATCTGCTTCAGCAAAACCAACCCCACGAAAAGGGACACTGGAACCTCCAAGTGATAGCCAGTCTGTCAGAAGCACGGGTGATCACCTGGGCACGTGAGTGGGTCTGTAGGATGGTGGGCAGTCCTGTAGGACTGAGCCCTTAGCCTGTGGGATGTGAGCTCAGACATTGGGTACTCACATGCTCATATCCCCCCTGCAGACACTCCTCATGGCTCTCCCATCACACCCCACATGTGCAACACCACTTCCTGCTCTTCCAAATAAGCCCTCATTAACCTTTTTGGCATCTAGTGAGACTTAACCTGAACCATTTATTGGAAGGTTGGCCCTACAAATTGACCAAGTGACCGTCTATGTATTTGTATAAAGACTGTTCCTTTAAAACTTCCTTTCTAGGAGAAGGCACTGGATGGAAGTCCATGGCACTAGATGGACAGTGCTATTATCCAGGACCTGCTATGTGCCTGGTCCCTATCTATTAAAATGAGCAAGACACTCTATTCCTTATCTAAGGGTCCCTGGAAATTATAAGACAGAAGCACACACAAATGACCCAAATCTATAGTTGTGTTATCACAAACATGGAATTCAATTTACTTTTATAACATCAAATTCACTCCAAAGACTTCACTTTTGTTTCTGGAACAGCTTTATTAGTTGAAATTAAGACATCACATGTTCTAGCCCATCGTGATACACTTAGTTCTTCTTTGTAGCTGGAACTCAGTAATTTGTTTCCTAGGAATGGAATACACACCCTAGCCAGTGGAAAGAATGTACTGAAGGGTCCAAGGTTCGATTCCAGTCAAGGCCATGTACCTCAGTTGCAGAACGGCCCTGGCTGGGGCATGTGCAGAGGCAACCAAACCATGTGTCTGTCTTCCTTCTACTCTCTCTAAAAATCAATCGAAAAATATTCTCAGATGAGGATTAACCAAAAAAAGAGGAATACAGAGAATCATTACCCATTTTTCCTTTCTACCTTTAGGATAAAACCAAGGCTCTTAACATTTTGCCTGTGCTTAGTTATCAGTCTTTCCTTTATGCCACTGCAGGGCAGGATGTCCTTTAGATGGCTGTAAAGCAACTGAACCCTGACATCCCAGGACTAGGTGTTGGAGGAATGGCAGGAATACTCAATATCAAGGCTCAGTGTAAAGGAAGATACTAAACTTCCAGTACCCGGCTCTAAACTGGGACACTTAATAAATAGAGTGCCGGCCCGAGGCCTGAAGGGTCACGGGTTCAATTCTGATCAAGGTCATGTACCTCGGTTGTAGGCTTGATCCCCAGCCAGTTGGGAGGCAACCAATCAATGTGTCTCTCTCTCTCACATCGATGTCCCTCCCTCCCTATCTCCCCCTCCCTTTCACTCTCTTAACAAAATAATAATAATAATCCCATATAAACCACAACTTACTATCATTAGCAACATCAGGAATTAAATGTGAAAAACCATAAAAATAACATTCCACAGAAGAGAACATCTTTGGCTCCAATCCATTTTGTAACCTAGTGTCTATAGATATGCCTGTTACCCAGTTAGAATGGTGACAATTTTCATTTGCCCAACAGCAGAGTTAAATCTACAGCCCCCTGTCCTGACTATTCAACCCAGCTCTCCATTACCATTACCTCCCAGCCATCTGCTATGACTCTGTCTCAACTCTAACTTGGGATCCTCTTTGCAAATTCTACAAATATGGGCACCTAGAGCTTAAGTGAAAACTCGATTTTAAAATGGAGAATTCTCATTGATCCTGCTGCCTTTGGACCCAGGACCCAAAAGGAAACCGCTAGTCAACTAAGGAGGCTGAGCCCATTAGTCGCTTATATTCTACTCCTGAGACAATGTCATGGAGTCCAATGCCTCCTGGGTGATGCTATGTTCTGTTAGAGACTTGTTGTCATATATTTCACAGTCCTCTTTTTTGGTAAGGATAACGGGGTCATAGAGGTGCCCTCACACTCAGCATTCCTCTCGTTGATATTACTGCTCCAGGGCCAGACAAGTAGAGAATAGAAATAGCTTCCCCAGGATTCTTCCTGATCAAATCTTTCTTTAGAACTGGGACCACTAACTTCTTCTACAAAGACCCATTCTATCTCACACGCTTCATCTTCCAACTCACACTCATGTGAAATGTTCAAAGAAGTAATTTCTTTGGTCAAGGTAGCAGTGTCGTTCTTTCCTTTTAAGAATGCTGTCCTGGCCTCACGTAATTTCCTGCTCCTGGACATCTTCCTCGGTCCCATTGTTGTGCAGTTTGGTGACTCTTCACTTACCAAGGGCATTTGCTCAGGGGAGTTCTCCAGCTCTGCATCTTCCACCCAACCTATTTCACAATGGATGGCTTCATCGGTTTTGTTAGACTGGGTCAACTGGGCAGTGGAGGGCCTGCTGTCCTGCTCTCCTACCTCCTTTCTACCCAGGATGCCACACAGCACTGACTCTTCCCCTGTTCCCTTTCTCCCTCCTGGTGATGATGCAGGAGATCTCTCCAGCTCTGCATCCTCCAGCCAGCTCATGTCACACTGAATGGCTACATTGACTTTGTTAGAGTGGGCCAACGGGGCAGCAGAGGGCATGTGCCCCTGAGGGCAGCTGTCCATCTCTCCTTCTTCTTCACACATTTTCTCCAGGGAAGGGTCTTCACCCCCATGAGGATTATACACCACACTCCTACTTTCACAGGAACTCTGTGAAATCTTATTGTGCCACAACTGCTGAAGTTTAGTCTGAGGCCCTTTCATTCTCATTTTTTCCCCATGGCCACT